TGAGCCCCTCTAAATCCCGAGTGTCTCCACACAGTTCCAGTCCACTCCACCCACCATCTGCCAGAGCCCAAGGTGAGTGGCTGTGGTTATTTTAGCCTCTGTCCCTGCTCTGCGCTGTGGAGCTGCTTGGGAGTTTAATCCGAGGGCGCTGCTCCCAGCTAAGGCCGCTGCTGTGTGTGGGCTCCCAGCTCCCCGCTCACGCCTATGCAATCCTGCCAGGATCGAGTCAGTGTCCCTGGTTATATGATCCTCGCAAGCTGCTTTTCTGTTGCTTTTTCCCCTTGATTTGTCTTTATTTTAGTTGTAATTCCAGTTTGGTCCTGGGAGACAGTCTGTGTAGCTTCCATTCACTCCGCCGCCATTTTGGAATCTCCGATAGGGTTATTTTTAATCTTTCATTATTATATACAATCCTGCAATTAACATCATTATGTATACAGTGATACCTCGGTTCTCGAACATAATTCGTTCCAGGAGGATGGTCGAGAACCAAATTGTTCGAGAACCGAAGCAATGAAACCCAATAGGAAATAATGGAAACTGGATTAATTTGTTCCAAGCCCCAGAAAATGCCTATTTACTGGCCTAATTTGTATATAATATGTAGAAAAACATAAGTCTCAACAAGAAATAAAAGTGTACAGTATGTCTAAGGGTTAAATTCAGTGTAAAGCGTGACTCTCTCCACAAAGCGTGACTCTCTCCACAAAGCGTGACTCTCTCTCTGCACTCACACTGATGACGCAAGCAAGGCGCGCTGGGCCGAATGAACGCCATTCTACTCAACTCTGCTCATCTCGGAAGTTCGAGTTCCAAATATTTGTTCGGATTCCAAGACAAAAGTTTCTCGAATCTCCTGGTCGAATACCGATTTGGTCGAAATCTAAGGCGTTCGAGAACCGAGGTATCACTGTATCTGTTGATATAATTATTTTCTCAAGAAAAACTCTTAGAGTATAGAATAATAAATTAAACATTTTTAAAATTCTCAACATCTGGTTCCAAATTTCTTTCCAAAAAGATTGTATCAATTTACACTTCCTCCAGCAGTGTGCACATGAAACCTATGTGCTTTGCTTAAGGAGGGGTGGAAGAAGTAGGTTTTGTCATTCCAGCTTGGTATCTGCCATTCTTGCTCACCTTCCTTTAAATAGACAGGCTTTACATGCCAGACTAACTAAATTTAGAGTGGAGAAGTAGGATTAGCTGCCCAAGACCAGAAACTTTGGAAATGAGTCCGAGCCAAGTGGAAAGGGTTAATTTCAATAATTCTAAATAACATGCTTGCTACTTGGCCCACTTTGGCTCTGAAGGACACACATCTGCTTTCACAAACTGAGCAGGAAGTAACACAAGGGAAGGGCCATCTCACCTGCTTTGGGCAGCTATATGAAAAATGACCACTTGGATCTTAGCACCCAGAGTGCAGGGCCTCCAAAGGAAATGGCTGAATTCATAATGTGATGGGTGGGGAACTGGATTGGGCACTCTGCCCAGATATACCAATCCAGAGCTTGTTGCACAGTTTGGGAATACATTATAAGTGGCATTTACTTCCTGTGCATCTTAAGTGCTTTGTGATTTTCTGGTTTCCCCTGTGCAAATGCAAAGAAAATTCCCATGGTTAGTGAGCAATCTAAAATTTCTCAGCTAAGACTTTAACTGGGATTTGTTGCAGGTCAGGAGAGATAGGTTCTATGACTATCAGCACTGTAGGCAAGTCCCTTCTCCCTTCTGTATCTTCTTAATTTCTCTGTGTGAACAAGGAAGTAGTTGGCCTGCATTTAGTGAGCCACAAATTCTGTTTCCCATGGGAGAGAGAAGAAGGATGGGGTCTCAGCACATACAAATGTATTTAATCCTAACAAGGGCTCCATGAGGAAGTAGATATCTTTGCCTCTCTTCATTATTCTGCTAATGGCACCCTGATTTTTTTTAGGGAACCATCCCTCACCCACTCCTAGTCCCTGTGACTTAGAAAGGACTGACTCTAACCATAGACATGCTACTCAGGCTTGGCTAAACAGAGCAACTGTGATGATTTCAGAGATGAACATGTGACCCAAGCCAGGCCAATGGGAGTCAACCTTGAGATTTTTACTGGAATTATTGGGAAGGAAGTGATCTCTTTGTTGTGTGGTTGCATAATTGGCCATTTCCGCCTTTCTGTGGAAGAAAGACCTGTCCTTCTAATAAAACTGACAGAGAGAGACAGATTCATGACAACTTCCTTTGAGCTTCTGGCATGGACTTGTCTGATTCCAAAAATAACTTCTAAAATTTTCAGTTCAGAACCCTTTTTGGCTGAAGCTGGTTATAACTGGGTTTATGTTACCTGCAACCAAATGAATCATCACTAAAATCCTGAATATGACATAGATCTTATTATTCTCATTTTACAGATGAAGAAATTGAGCCTCAGAGCAAAGTAAGTATAGAGCTAACAAGTGGCACAGTAGACATTTTTAATCTACCTCTTTTTAATCTATACTTCTAATCTCTACTCAGGAGCCCAAGTGGTTCCCCTTTTCTAGCTTTCTTCCACATAGCACAGAAGTAGAAACAGGTTTGATTCAAGTTCCAGACCTGGTTCAGCTGCTTCCTAACTGACCTTGGAATGACTTACTAAATGTATACTCTGAACAAGCCTCTTCATCAGTTTGTGCCTCAGTTTTCTCACCTGAAAAATGGGATGATAATAGTATCTACCTCATGGAATTGTTGTGGGGAGTAGATGTATTAGATTATGTAACATTCTTAGAACACAGCTGGGCACATGGTAAGCATGACATAAGGGTGAGCTGTTATTTTTCATCTGCTGCCTGTATATTGTTAGTAAACTGGCTATCCCCTCGCCACACCCACACACCCAGGATATGGTCTGAGTTATTTTATGCTATATCAGTTCCAGTTGCCATAACAAAACATACATACCCTGGTCAACCAGGGGCTTCGAATAATGTCTGACATGCTGTTTCTAAAATGCTGACATTTCTAAAAGTGCTGATCACTGTGGGGTTAGCAGACCCAAAAACAACCCAGGAAGTGAAACTTTGGAGAGGAATTCCAAATAATCAAGCCTTTGCTGACTCACAGAAAAGAGAGAGAGGGGATGGATGTGAACACAGCCATGTCCAAGGCTTCCCCTACCCCCCAGTCCTATCAGCCCCACAGTTGTAAAGAGCAGAAATGCATTTCCCTTAGAGTTTATAATAATTGCTCTCCCAGTGTAAACTCAGTTCCAAAAGGTGCATTAGTCTTGTAAAGCGTAAAATATTTAGGCCCTGGAGAATCACCAGGGAATGGGAGGGGGCTTACTGTTGATTCAGAGTGAGTCTTGGTTGTGGGCTTATGCTAATGTACAGGGGGCTGGTCAGTAGGACAAATGGGGAATCCTTTACCACTTTGATTCACAAAGGTCAGAGCTGGTACCCAGAACAGTAACATGGCCTGTCAGCTATCTTGAACCCAAAGTCTCCTATCTCTGGGCATTACCGTCAGCCCTTTAACCCCCACCTTGTAGACAGGCTCAGTGGTTGATGAGCTACCATTCATGGAGCACTTGCTAGATCCCTTACATAAATTATTTCATGGAACTTTCCAGGAGCCCCATTGACATGCAGGTTAGAACACAATAATGATGACCTTAGACCTTGTAGCCAGGCTGCATAGAGTGGATTCCCAGTTCCCCTACATACCAGCTGTGTGACATTGATCAAATTACTTAACCTCTCTGTATCCCAGTTCTCTCCTTTGTAAAATAGGGATATTAATAGTTCCTACTTATTTTGGTTGTGAAATAAGTAAGCATCTGTAGCACCAGAAGAATGCATGGCACAATGACAATCGTTTTTATTAACCCTCATTTTATAGATGTGGACTTTGAGGCCAGAAGAGGGGTCCCTCACACACAGCTTGTGAAACTGGGCCTCCAACTAGCTCTATGTGATCCACTGAGTGGAATTGCCCTCCACTCAGAGAAAGCTAAAATATCCCCAGGAGGCCCCAAATCCATACCCTAGCACACCCCACCCCAGTTCTCTTCTTCTCAAATGCCTATGAACTTGAGTGTCTCTTTTGAAGTGTTAAGATAAGATCTAAATAACTGTTAGGTGTTCAAATGGAGTTTTCTCTGCCGCTGAGGAGAGAGAGAAAACTCTGCCTCTCCCCTCAGCTTGGGAAATGAAGGCAGCGGGGATGAACTCTCAGATCCAGAGGGCAGAGAGGTTTGTGGGACCTGCAGAAGGAAGGACCACAGCCCACCCCCACCCTTGCAACCTCCACTGCCCCACTTTCTCCTCAGTCTAGCACAGGATGCTGATTGAAACATGTCATGTCTTGAAACTTGAGCTCATTTGGAGGAGCTAGGGAGAAACAGAGGAGGGGCGTGGCTTTCTAGACACTGGGGAAGTGGGGCGGTGTCCTGAGTTTCAGGTCTTCCTGGCTTCTGCTGTCTTTTTCTATTTTGGCCTCTCCAGCAGGGATCAGGGGAGACAGGATATCACTATATATGTTTGCCTGTTAGTCGGTCTGTGGTTGACTTGTCCTATCATCATCTCATCTCCGACTATTTCTATTTCTGCTTCTTTATCTTGACTTACCTATATTTCTGTCTGTCTGACTTCAGTTCTCTCCAAGGTTCTGACCCTTCTTTCACCCCTCTTGGCAAACCCAAGGAGCTGCCCACTGCGCTCAGAGCCAGAGGCCGGGGTGCTCAGCGGGAGCAGCTCGGACCCTGGGGCGGGTGGTGGGAAACGGTGTCCGAGACCGAAGTGCCCCTGGCGCTCCTTCTTGGTGTGGGGCGGCCCCAGGAGCACCGGAGGTGGTGACGCTGCAGGCCAGCAGGGCCCGGGTCTCGGGTCTCCGCCTCGCTCCCTCCCTTCCTTCCTACCTCCCTCTCCCGCTGGCCCCTTCCCGAGCGGCTCCTCCCCCTCCACACCGCCTCTCCAGTCAGCTCCCTCCGCGCGCCGCCACTGTCCCCACGCCGCCAACGAGCACCGAACAGCCAGGCCACCGCAGCCTCCGCACCACTAAACTTTCCCCGGAGCCGGCGCTGGTAAGTCGGAGAGGAGCGCGGGCAGGGCGCGGGCAGGGCGCGGGCAGGGCGCGGGCAGGGGCGGGAGCGGGGCCGGAGCGGTGGAGCCTGGCTATGCGCTGGCCAGGCTTGGGTCTGGACATCCCTGGGGAGCCTGGCAGAGACCCCCGGAGCCGGGGGCGTGGGGTGGGTACGCCTGGGGTACCTCGGGACGTGGGTGGCTTGGGTACGGTCCGTAGCGCGTCTCGCTCTATGGCACCCGCCCGGGCACTCAGATTTGCTCCCAACGCGCAGACACCTGTGGCTTCCCCGGGGTTGGCCAGGGTGTGCGCCCGCACGGCTGCCTCTGGGCTCCAGTGGGGAGAAGGCGAGTCTCCTGCTCTCCCAGATCTGCCCCGGGCTCGGCTCAGAGGCTCAAAGTTCGATGCTAACCATAGTCCCAGCCCATCCGTTGAGTGCATTGTCTGTGGCACGGGCTGGGTATCCAGGATCTCCTTCAATTCTTCCTGTCATTTGATAGCACCTTACGTAGGTCCGTCCTGCTTGTGGCCAGTGTTATCACACCCTTTTACAGAGGAGGACACTGAGGTTCAGAGAGGGAAAGTTGTGCCTAGGGAACACCAGCGAGTCAAGGAGAGAGCAGGGGTTGCGAGCCCCGAGTCGCCTGACCCAAACTACTTCACCACTCGCAGGCGGGTCCCAGGTTCTTCGTCACCAGGGGTCGGGTGTGGGAAACGTGAAGACCACCGCCCATGGTCTCCTGCAGCCCAGCTGCAAGTCCTGGCTCTGCAGATGTACCGGCACAGAGGACCCTTTGGAAAAATAGGAGGCTGTATCTGCCAGGGTATGGATTCTCGTGGTAGAAGCACATGGGGGCTGCTGGTTCTTCAGGGCAAGGGTGAGGGGGCACTAAATTCTGGAAGTTGCTCTCCATTTTGTCTGGAAGGGGCCAAGGAAGTCAGGAGCAGGAGCTGGAGCGCAGCAGTTCTTCACGGAAGCCACTTTCTCTTTCTGGGCAATTAGTCCCTTTGTCCCCCACCCCACCCCAAGAAGAAGACCCCAGCATAATCCCTAAGACTCTGAGATGTCTGCTTTGTCTGGGAGCTGGCAGTGGAGAGATGCTGCAGGCAGGGTTGCTTCCTCCGGCAGGGGGCTCCCACCTCATACCTGGAGCGAGCCTAAAGAGCCAGTGCAGGGAGTACTGTGTGAGTAATGTCCCCGTGCTAGAATGTGCTTGGGAAACTCATTCTGCGATGAGGGCTAGGCCCCTGTAACTGGAGCACAGGTGGAGTGTATCTCCAGAACGTGATGGAGAGGGGTGCGGGGGTCTGATAGGGAGGGGCTTGAATGCCCCTATCTTGGAGGCAACCAGGAACCAGCAGAGACTGGGAGAGAGAGAGTGGGTGGAATGATTAAATCCCAATTAGTTCTCACAGCAGCGTTGCAAGGTAGGGACTATTAATGCTAGCATCACTGAACAGGTAGTCTGTGAGGCTCAGAGAAGTTAAGTAACTTGCATGAGGTTGCCTAGCTGGTCCATGGCAGAGTTAGGATTTGAATTGGGTCTTGAACCTTACTCCTTCCAGATCATCAGTGAAACTCTGACTGCAGATAGGACCTTAGGTCTCTCCTATAGTGTTGTCAGCAACAAAAGGTGAAGGCTAGAGAGATGCCAGGCAACAGGGTCCCCCCTCTACCAGCTCTCCTTTCTCTCTGAAAGGTGTCCTGCAGGAGGCCTCCTGCTGAGTGGCTGACCACTCACAAGAATCCCTAACAACCCGGTGTAAGTACCCTAATATCATCAGAGCTTGCTAGACCTTCATACATACGTTCAAGGCTGCCTGATGCTGCCAGCTGTCTCGAGATGTATTTTCTTGATGGAGGAAGAGTCTGTAAGGAAGCCTGTACCATTTTCAAGTGTAACAGAGAATCCTTCCAAGGTGGGAGATGGCCCAGCACTGCTTATCCATGATTTCAGAGCTGGTGGCGGCTGGAGCTGCCTGCCAATGACCCTGTAGCCCAGGGAAGTTTAGGCAATCCTGAGGGTCGCTCTTGGCCCTCAGCTGCGTGTCTCAGATAGGAAAAACTTTCTCCCCAGGAACTCTCTCAGAATTCTGTGTCATACTTTCATTTTTACAATCAAGGAGTGCCTGATGGAAAACAATGTGGCTTTCTGTAACAAAGAGGTCCAACGCGTGGCTTCTGGAGCTGGCTCAAATCCCATTGCTGTCAGTGAGGAGCTCTGTGGCAAGTTGCCATAGCTCTCTGTTCCTCAGTTTTCCATTTTTAGAATAGGACTGAGTTGGTGAGAGAATTGTGTTCAGGTGCATAAAGCACGTAAACAGTGCCATGTAATACATGACAGTGCTATTTAAATGTTAGTTGTCATCAGTATGGCTATGAAGCTCAAACAGACGAGCTTTTATCCTGGCTCTGCCACGTGCAAGCTGCCCCACCTCTGAAAACCTCTGCTTTCATGTTTGTAAAGTGAGACTAGGTCCAGTGTTAGATATAAATGTGTTTCCCAGAAGTTTTAGTGCAGTCTCGTTTTAAATAGCCTAGATCGTGAAGTCTCAGTGCAGACTTATTTAAACTTTTGGAGCTCTACGAGGTACTTAGCAAACACTGGGCATTACCATGATTAGCACTATTATAGGCAACCTCACTCTCTCCTGTTTTTTTGTTTGTTTGTTTGTTTTTTGGATTTTTTTTTGGTACATGCCCCTAGCAGGAACCAAACCCGCAACTCTCTGCTCCACAGTCCGATGCTCCAACCGCTGAGCCAAACCGGCCAGGGCTAACCTCACTCTTTCATGCTGTAGCTTAAACTTAAACTTCTGGCTTGGTTCTGAGCAATATGGATTTGGGACAGTTTTCTGGCTTGTGTGGGCAGGAAAAAGGCTCTTCCTATCTTTCAGCGCAGGTTCTCGCTTGGTCATTTCTCAGGTCCCAAAATGTGGGCCTCTTGGTGGTTGTGGGAATGTCAGAGGGTAGGTTTGAAATTCATTTCATAAGGTCTAGCTAGATGGAAAACATTCAGGCTGGACACTAGTGGTAATTGCTCCTGACCCAAGACGTTTCATCTGAAAGATGTACCTGGCAGAGGATCACTCAAGCCCTGGTCGCATGCTGCCCTCCCTTTCGCAGTGATGCTGAGCATTTGTGAATTGCGGGATATAATTATAATACAGCTCCTGTATCTTATTTATAAGTGACTCACTTCTGCCATTAATCGTAGCAGAGGACTCAGGTGCATACTCTTTGGGAACAATGCCACTGATGCTGAGGGAAGAGAGGCCGGGATGCCTCTCCTCTTTTCTGAATTCATTTTCCCTGCTGTAATTCTCCAGTAATAATGCACGAGAATCACATGGGCCAGGATAGAAGCTGACAGCTCACCATTTGTGCAGCAGATTGGATAGCAAGGCCCATTGAAACTTGATGCTGCCAGCAGAATGGATGTTAGAAATCATTACTTCACAACAGAGAGAATAGAGCAGAGGAGCTTGAGGAAGGCACCTCCAAGGAGTACTTAAAAGAGTAGACTCTGGTGTCCAACAGACTTGAGGGTGAATCTTGGTTTTGCCAGCTTGTTAGTTATGGAATGATTTTTGGCTCTTCTTAACTAGACGCACAGCTCTAATAGAGCAGGGACCATGTCCATCTCACTCACCAGCTCCTAGCACATAGAAAGGGCTCATAAATGCCAAATAAATGAATGAATGTATGAATGACATGTTGCTTGATTGAGCCTCAGCTTGTCATATGTAAAATGGGGCTAATATAGCACCTGCCTTGTAGGTTGTTGTGAAGACTGAATGGGGAAACGTTATACACAGAATAAGCACTCAGCACTGCCCTTGGTGACAAATTGATGAGCAGAAACAAGGACACATCTGGCCTAATCTTGGAGAGAAAACTTTTCCCCCACTCTCAGACCAACAAGGGGCAATAATGCTAGTCATAAGAATCCCTGCATTTATACAGCACTCTACAAAGGTTTTTCATATCCATTGACTCCTAACTAGACAGAATGGCTGTTCCTTTTTTACAGGTGAGGAAACTGAAGTTCAGGGGGGTTGGTGGAATGCCCAGAGTCACACATTTTAGAAACAACAGGAGTTGGAATATAAGTCTGGGTTGCTCTGCTCTGCTGGCTGTTATTGCTGAGCTGTCTGTTGCTCCACAGAGAGTGTAAGGTATAGTGTTCAGTCTTCCACGAACATGGTATCTCTCTTCATTATTTAGGATATCTTTAACTTCTCATGGTACCGTTTCCTAATTTTCTCTTGGTGGTCTTGCATGGTCTTACACATCTTTTTATTTATTTATTTATTTATTTATTTATTATTATTATTTTTACTCCTCACTTGATATATTTTTTTCATTTATCTTTAGATAGAGTGGAAGCAGGAGAGAGAGAGAGAAAGAAACTTCGATGTGAGAGAGACACATTGATTGGTTGCCTCCTGCACGACCCCGACCAGGGCCAGGGACGAACCGCAACCGAGGTAACATGCCCTTGACCGGAATTGAACCTGAGACTCTTTCGTCTGCAGGCCGACGCTGTAATCGCTGAGCCAAACCGGCCAGGGCCTTGCACATCTTTTTAAAGATATTTTGCTATTTTGCATGCTTTTTTTTTAGAGAGAGAGAGGAAGGGAAAGGGAGAGAGAAATAGAAATATTGGTGAGCAAGAACATTGATTAGCTGCCTCCTGCATGCCCCGCACTGGGGATTTGGCCCACAGTCTGGGTGTATGCCCTAACTGAGAATCAAACCAGTGACCTCTTGGTGCATGGGTCGATACTCAACCACTGAGCCACACCAGCCGGGCTTGCATGCTATTTTAAATAATATATATTTTTAACTTAGTGATCTATTGGTTACTTTTTGAAAAAATATGTCTCCATTTTGCATATTGATTTTGTATCCAGAAATCTTGCTAAACTCTCTTACTAATTAAAAAAAAATGTATTTATAAATTCTTTCAAAAATACTATGCATACAATTATAGGAGT